CATGCATTCTAGGTACTTCCCATAAAGATTAGTCATTAAGCATCAGCAATTTCAGCCTAGGTTGGATTGCGTGTCGTCCCACTGATTATCCCCGCCCACCTCGAAGTAAATAAGAGGGTTGAACACTCTTCTCATTGTCGTAGCTGTTCACGTTACTTGGCTTACTTTTGTGTTCGCTGTGCTCTTGATCATGGGTCCCCCTGTGACCCGTTCTCGTACTCACTCTTCTGACTCTAGGGCGGTTGCCCTGACACCCAGATCAAGTGATCAAATGTCTGCCTCAGATACTCTGGCAGGCGCCTTATCATATTTAGATGACCGCGCAACGTTCACGAAGGATGCGAAGACCTTACGTGACGCGACGGTTCTGGCTATTACCGAAGTGAGGGAAGAGGCTAAAGGCCGAGACGTCTCGGCTAGCGCAAACGATTAATGAAGGTAACTCCAACCTCCTTTCCGACCTTGAATCATTCTTTTGAGGCGGTAGGGGAGCGCATAAACGCGCTTCCAGTGGTCGCGACCGTGAGCCCGGATGGGCCGTTACCCAGAGTAGTTTCATTTACGGATCAGGTGAGGATCCGATGCAATTCTCCCTGTGGCTTCGTCGCTTGGAGGACGTCATGCGGATGAGGTCCACCTCTTGGACTTCCCAACAGAAGGCCTACTTTCTTACAGGTATTTGGACGGTGTGGCTAGGGAGAAAGTCGAGGAACTTTCAGAGGAAGAACGCGACGATTATTCAGCTATCGTCGCTCACCTGAGGAAGTCCTTCGAGGGTCCGCAGCACCGCTACATGGCACGCCAGGCCTATCCTCTTGCCAGCAGCAGATGGGTGAGTCTTCCTCCACTTTTGCTAATCGATTATTACTTTTAGTTCGGGCGGCCACAGCTGGTCAAGACTCGGCCAGTAAAGATCGCGTGCTGGAAGAATTTGTCGCACGACTTATTCGCTACTACGTCAATCTCGATAATCCGGCCACTTTCGAGCAAGCTGTGGCTAAGGCTCAAGATGGTCGAGCAGCTTCTAGCCGAGGCCACAGCTGACCGCTTGATGCGCCCGTCCCAGATGGCGCAACCAATCGAGGTGAAGGCAGCCGCTCCTCCAAGGCGACCAGCGCCTCCAAGACAGGAATCCAGGGGTTTTCAATATGCTCAACCTTCGGTTCCTTTTAATCGTGGTTCAACGCGCCCTTTTCAGAGAACAAGAGGGAACCCTCCACCTCAGCCGCGCAGGCTGGGTTCGCCACCCACGTGCTTCAACTGTGGTGGAATCGGCCACTTTTCTCGCTCCTGCCCTTCGCCTCGAGACTCTCGTCGAAATGCAGGTAGGTCTGTTTACGCTATGATCGTGATCACGAACTTTCGGAGGCTCGCGAACAAATTCGATCTCTTTCTATTTCCCTGCGAGAAAATCAGTCGGCTTTGGAAAGGTCCGACGCCAGAGTTAATGCCTTGGTTCGTCGCAATGAAGAACTGGCAAACTCTGCTTTTGGGAATCATTCTAATTCCTCTTCTGCATCGCTTCCTATGCCTCAAGTTAAGTCTCTGTTGCCTATTGTTATGCTCTTATGCTGTGGCATGAGCGAGGCATTGCCCGCTTCGGCGTGGCTTTGTCCACAGGACCCATCTGACGCTCTTGCTCGTATTCCTACGTTATATAATTGCTCACATATTATTCCACGTGTAACAGAGCCTCCTCGCTCGCTTTCTATTCATATCTACCGTCCTAATACTCAACGGTACGATACTTTGGCCTTTCTTTGTAATTATTACTCAGTCGGTTACTTATTCGGTCAATCTATTTCGGAGCGCGATATGAAAACCGTACTGAGACTCACGCCATTGTTTCTCTCGAGGCGTGTAAACTTATGATCCAGCACCATAAGTGCGAATTTGGGGATATGGTGCAATCTAACGAGGTCTGGTCTACTTCTAACCCGTTGGTCATCGATTGGCCATCGGCCCCGTTCGGCTGCTGTGCTGAGCATTCCATTTCGGTCTCCAACTGTATTCTGCTCCACACAGTAGTCCATATGCGCCATGGGGCCACCTCTCCAGACTCACCAGCTGGCAATCTCGCCCAGTGTGAAGCTGGTAATTGTGTCTTCCGTTACGGGTCCCTTCTCCTTTGAACTCCCAATGAGAAGGAGATGTGCCGTTTCACACCGGTCATGAAGACGAGGAGTCTGGATTAGCGACTCCAAGGAGTTCGCACTTTCATGGCGAGATTCTAGCGATCGAATACAGGACTGTGGGTCTAATTTGATTATCTCCGACCAGGGTTACGCTGTCGCACCTCTCACCCGGCTGCCCCGTTCCGCCAGCGTGGACGCTGGCATAGTGACATCCAACCAGCTGGCGGCGCAACTCTTAGCGGTAGAGGGATCCGTAGGGTCAGCAGTTTCGGCGCTCTTTCACCATGCTCTGTCCGCGCTTTGTGACAGAACGAACCTACTGGCCTTCGCTCTCCATACCTCGCTGGCCGCTAGTCCTACTCTTACCTTACGCAATCTGTTGGGGCGCGCCGACATTGCTGCCACCTCGCTGGGGAACGACCTGGTGCAAATTCATCGGTGCATGGCTATTCCTCCCCATCATTTTCAGCTTATTCCATTCAACGGAACCTTGCTATTCTCAACCGCTGGTCAAAATCACCCCTCCCAGCGGCGAGGCGATTTTCTCGTTCCTCGATCCAGCTACTCTGGTCGTATCGCAGCGCGCCTCTCCAGCCGATTGCTCCGCAGTGCGCTATTTCTATCTTTCGCACGACGCTTCCTATCTTAGATTTGATTCTTTAACTGGCGAATCCCAAGCCCTACCATTTTCTGGTATTCGTAACATAGGGCTTCATTCCAGCCTCAACGCCTCCGCTTTAGCGGAGAGTTATGAAAGATGGTGAAGCGGAGCGCGCTTTACCATCTTTCATAACTTAATCCTGACTAACCTCAGCGAACTAGTCCAGGACCATCAGTGGCAAGAATTGTGGTCTACCGTTTCGTCTGACCACTTCTCTCGCGTGAAGGTAACAAGTGAACACGCGCTTCCCGGGTCCCTTGGTTCACCATCATTTTCTTTTGGACCCTCATCTTCGGGTCATGGTCGCTTTTCCACCTTTGGATCACCTTTTGCTGCGTTATCGTATCCATCCGTGTGATTAAGGCAGCCTTTACCCTCTATTGTAATCTGTTTTACCCGGGGTGGTTGCCCCGCTTCCAAATTTTTTTGAGCCTAACCCCCTCTCTTTGCGCGCACTCGCGCGCCCTACTTTGGGGTCTCCTATAACGTCTCCGATTCTGTTTCTGAGCCACCGCCATCCCCTGTTGAGTTGGCATGCGTCAAAATAGATGCTTCCACGTCCTGGCCACCGCGAGCGATTATGAAACCGGTCAAGGTGCTGCATTTGTCGGATCACCGTTATTTCGTGGCTCAAATTCCGATTCGGGTCAATAACATTAGCGTGCTCGCGCTCATTGACACGGGCGCTTCCATAACCATTACGTCGGTTGAAGCCATGCCATTGTTTGGAGCCTTCAGCCTCGCTGAAAGCGACGTAACAAGCGCAGTAGGCATGGCAGGGGTACCCGTTCATCTCATGGGCTACGCATTTCTTTCATTTGAAATTGGCTCATTATCATTCAACCATCCGGTCTACTTTACGAAGTCGGCTTGCATTCCCGACGTTGCCGACACTTATAATATAATTCTGGGAAACGACTTACTGCGCAAACTTCCCCCATGGTCAATCGATTACGGTAACCGCACCTTGCGAATGGCTGACCAACAGCTGAAAATATTATGCGCGGTTCCTGAGAGCGGCCAGCGCCACCCGATCAGCTGGTGGCGGTCCGCGTCGCCGAAACTACCGTACTCCCTCCCGCAGCCGAGACCTTTGTGAGGTGTCGGACGGAAGGGATCGATTCCGGTCCATTAATGTTGATCACACAAAGCGAAAAGCTTTCAGAAAATCCTTAATGGTGACACCAGCAGTGATCAACAGGAACGATCCACTTCTTTTGGTAGCTAATCCATCTCCCAAACCGGAAACGCTCTACAAAGGGCAGCACCTTTCATCAGCTGTTCCTCTTCTTGAAGGTGAGTCTTCACTTCTCTTTACATCAGCATTAGATTCCTCACCTTTCGTGGGAAATTTTTCTTTGAGGGCGGATCGCCCTGAAACCAAGACTCATATTGATTCCTCCGATATTGATTTATCTCATGCCGAAGTGTCTGAGGAGGAGCGTGAGCAATTGGCTCAATTATTTTATGAGTTTAGGGATATAATCTCTACCGGATCCTACGATCTAGGCTCTATGAAGAGTCGGAAATAGTCATTAAAACACAACAGAAACCCCTACTCGTTTCCGTCCTCCTCGGATTCCGGTCAAATTCCAGAAAGGAGCTCGACGACCACATCAATAAGTTGCTTCGCGCCGGGCGTATCGTCGAAAGCGACACCCCGTGGATCCACAACACGGTTCTGGTGAAGAAGAAGGACGGTTCCTTGCGCGTATGTCTAGATTTTCGCCCGCTCAATGAGGTGACAGTCCCGGACCATTATCCCCTGCCGCGCATTGAGGATATCCTTGCAAAAATTGCCGGCCACAAGTTTTACACCACCCTGGATTTAGCATCCGGATACATGCAACTTTACTCTCCCCGGAAGCCAGGAGAAATGCGGTGGGCAACCCATCGTGGTATCTACCAGTTTGTCTACCTGCCTTTTGGACTCAAAAACGCGGGTGCTTACTTCTCCAGAGCGATGTCACGCATCCTCGCGGGTTTAGAAGCCAATTGCCTGGCATACCTGGATGATATAGTGGTTTTTGATAAGGACTTTCCTAGTCATCTCCAGTCCCTACGCAAGGTCTTCTACAGGTTCCGCCTTTATAACATCAAGGCATCTGGGAAGAAACTTACGGAAATTGCCCGTTCTCACATATGAACTTTTTAGGGGGCATGAGATCTCCGGCTCTTCGTATTCACCAGCTGAGCGAAACATTCGAGCAATCCAAGAGCGGTCTCCACTTTATGCCCTTTTGAAGGGAAAATTCGTTTGGGGGCCTGAAAAAGAAGAGGCTTTCCAACGGCTTAAGCTGTTGTTAGCCTCCAAACCTTGCTTCGCATTCCCTCAGGACAAGGACGTTTTCCTTAACACTGATGGTAGCCAACATGCGGTGGGTGCCACGTTATTCCAGAACGATTCCGATACCGATCGCCAACTTGTTGCGGTCGGTTATTTCAGTAAAGCTCTTTCAGAGTCTCAGCAAAAGTGGAGCCCCACTCATATTGAGCTATTCGCCATAATAAGCGCCTTACGCTTTTTCAGGACCACAATCTACGGTTTCGATTACGGGACAATACGCCGGAAACTATAAAAAAAACGGAACTATATGAGTGGAACTCCCCGTTAGCATTAACAAAGCTTCTCCGGCCATCTATTCCGTGCGCCCCACCGTCTGTTGTCTCGGTCCGCTGCATGCAATTCGACCGTACGATGCTCTTCAGGAGCAGAAACAGGATCGATTTTGTTCGGCGCTCCTTTTTCTTAACCCAGCGCTTCTTCTTCTTCTTATTCTTAGCGTTTGCCCCACCCTGGCTAGTGGCGGGGGTCGCTTTCCTGGGTTTGACGAGGGCGCCACTATTGTTCCCGAATATTGCTGCGCCTGATCGGGGTGAAGGCCAACTAATTTCAAATCCTCATGCAACGTATCAAGCCATCGTTGCTTCGGGCGTCCTTTTGGCCGCTTTCCTGGCACGTTAAAATCTAGACCGATCCCACGGACACTCCCATCATTAGCGCGAAGACGTGTCGCGCTACCCACGCTTAGGCGAGCTTGCGCGCATTCGTTTCATGGCGGTGGAGCCGCACGCGAACCGGCTTTGGATTGTTATCGTTGCGAATGTGGTCTAAACGGGTAACCCCGGCAGTCCAGCGCAGCATTTTTGTCTCCATTACACTGAGACGAGCCTCAACCTCTTTAGTCACGGGCCAGCACTCTGCTCCGTAAATGGCGACTGGTCGGACGACGGTTCTGTAGATCTTAGATTTCAGTCGCTCTGGTATTTTCTTATCGCAGAGAACGCCGGTCATCGAGCGCCATTTGGACCAAGCTGCACTCACGCGAGAGTTTACTTCAGAGACCAGGCTGCCGTCAGACGCGATTGCTGACCCAAGATACTTGAATGATGTTGTACGTGTGAGCTCAGTGCCATTGATCTTAATAGAGCCTGACTCACTCAAATCGGTGGTCAAGTACTCTGTCTTCTTCACATTCAACCTGAGCCCAAACATAGCCAGACGGTCGGACCAGGTTTGCACCTGTTGCTCGAGCAGATTTTGTCTTCGCAGCGAGCATCACGTCATCAGCATAAAGAAGCGTCCATGGAGCCGGCTTCTGAAGATCGCGAAATGGCATCCATGACGACAATGAATAGGAGTGGGGAAAGCGCAGAGCCCTGGTGCACACCGACCGAGATGGGGAATTCCATTGAATTACCTGCCACAGTTTGCACCCTACTCTGTACCTTTACCTTTACCTTACTTTTCTTATACCTTTCTTCCCAGCGCTTCCCTCCCGAAATTACCGAGGACGAGCGGAGGACATGGCTAGCAATCGCTGAGAAATGCGTCATAAGGAAGAACGGTTGTCTTTATTATAACGACCGTCAGATGGCCACCAATCCATTCCGTTTCGAGCGATTAGTCGTTCCGGAGAAACTTAGGGAACCAGTCTTTTTGGCATTCCATACTAGCCCATCCTCGGGTGGCCATTTCAACTGGCGCAAAACACTAGCCAAAATTTCACGCAAGTATTTTTGGCCTCATATGGCCGAGGATATCTTCACGTTAGTGCGCACCTGCGACCCATGCCAACGGAAGCGTCCAAATATGGCCAACCAGGAAGCACTAATACCAGTAGTCAGCGGAGCCATTTTCGATAAGGTTTACGTAGACCTTACAGGCCCGCTCCACACCTCGGAAGCCGGTAATAAGTACATCCTTGGCCATGATTGACCACTTTTCTAAGTACGTCATTGCCGCACCGCTCCCTGACTGCACGGCGATTACGGTAGCACAAGCCATCGTTTCGGAGTGCATCTTAAAATTTGGTGTTATGACTCAACTCATTTCAGATAATGCCTCTTATTTCAAAGGCGAGGTGATGACCGAAATAGGACGTTCCTACGTATTCACAGGTATTTTTGCACACCGTACCACCATGAGGGAAATGGTGCCTGCGAACGCATTTTCGCCACTTTCCATCCTATGTTGCGAACTTATATTAACGAAAATCAGTTGGACTGGGACAAATACGTGAGTGCGTGTGCCTTTATGTATAACACCTCGGTTCACACCAGCACTAACAACACCCCTTTTTTCCTCATGTTCGGACGCGACCCAGTTTTCAACATAGATTTGCTCATCAAGCATGATCTCGCCCGTCATTTTCCATCCTTTGAGGATTCCGGACTCTATGTTCAAAATTTGGTCGCGACCCTACACGCCGCATGGCGATCGGCAGCCCAATATAACGACCGCCAGCGTGAAAAGTTCAAGCGACAGTACGATCAATCCCACCTGGCCCCCCTCTCTATCAAACCAGGTGATCGGGTATACCTTCGCGACTTGGCACCCAAGGTGGGCCTCTCACAAAAACTTTGCTACCCGTGGTTAGGACAATTCCGTGTCATCAAGGTGGACCCTCCCCACTTAACCATCGTTAGCACTTCTGCGCCCCAGCCTTCTCCTAAAAAGGTCCATATGAACCAGGTGAAACCCTGTCAGCTTCTATCTGGTCCAGTTTTCACCACTCCCTGGATACCTGAAGTCGAGGAGCTGGCTCTCACGGCCGTGGAAGCTTCCGACGAACCTATAGTGGGTCACACCCATACGGTGATTGAGCATTTGGCGCCGGACACCTCGGCAATTTCACCCAATCCGCCAACCCATCCCTATAACACTCGTTTCAGGTCGCGAAGAACTTCACTTTGACCGGTTGGTCAGAAACCACGAACATTTCTTTTTTTCTAATGCTTGCTGTTCTCACAGCTCTAACTTTTTCTTCCCTTTCTCCGCTGGTTCGAGGCGAGCTTCTTTGTTTACATGCTACGCCGCGCCGATCATGCACCATCAAATGCCATGATCTCGCGTGCTTTGTTTTTTCTAGGATGGTACGCCCATCCATGGTGCTTAACCAACCCTTCACTTTTCGGTTCTTTCGTTTCGAAACTCATTCTCACCTCACTTCTCTCTTCTTTTGTTCGCTTTAGATGCTTCCATAAACTTTCCTTGTAGCTAGTTATTCCGTTGCATGCATTGGTGTCTATCCATATAATAGT